TTTCCTTTTCTCTTCTTTTCTTGCCGGACCAGTTAGTTTGTTGAATTCTAGGATCGGTTTGAATAATGCAGACGTAACTCTGTGCGGCGCGAATAAAGTTTTACGATCGATGCGACTTGGGACACGGCCTGGTGCGCGACTGTAAGTGTGAGTGCGTTTGCGAGACGTTTGAAAAAAACGCGGCTTGATTCATCATAACCGTGACATCACGATGACCTATACGTAATCAAATAATACGTAATCAAATTTTCACAAGAAACGACAAACAATTAATTTATATAGCAAGAAAAAAAGAAGCAGTAAAAAAAAATAACATTTGTGCTATTACAGAATTACGACAAAGCTGCGACCGTATATGCGTGTATGTGTGTGAATGCATGTGATACTAGAATATAATTAAAAAAAAATAATATATATATATATATATATACTACTTAAAATTTATTATTACATATTACTGCCGAAGAAACTGGTGTAATCCAAGACGATTATGTTCTCTATTTAATTCTCTTTTTTGTTCGTTTAACTTAAGTTGTGCCAGTTAATTCAGACTTACGACGTAATGAGTAAGTAATGATATTATTCGATATGCTAAGAGTAACGTTTCTTTCGCCGAGAGCGCTAAACAAATGTTTCTAATTCCTATGATCGATTCAAATCGATTTCTGCGAAAAGTGAGTTTAAATTTACGTCATTTACGCGGGATCTCTCGTTCCCACGCGCGACACATTTTTTTTTTTTTATAATCTGCGTGGGATCGACGCTGAATCGCAAATTGTTTTCATGAGCCATGTTTTTACAGTGATATCGACAGAGTTATCACTATACAGTTATGCGATACCGTTTAATTCAACTGCCTAGGCAATTTGCCGAAATGTACCGTCGCGGTGTTTCATCATCCCGCGAAGCAACGTAGAATTCGAAGTAGCTCTCTTGAAAATGTCTCTCTCAATCGAGTCAAAGATTAATGGAGAAACGCAAATGTTACATCCTCAACAACATTATTTTCTCGAAAATTTACTCAATCAAGTGAGAGAGATCCGAAGGAATTACTTTAAATAATAATAATAAATATTAAGATATGTATATAGCTCGTTATACATAAACTGTACAAAAGGGTATCTGACTGAAAATAAACGAAACAAGAAACGAATCGAGTAAAGTACTTCCCAGGTAAGTTATCACGTCCTGAAAACTTAAATCCGCTTTTAATGACTGTTATCGAGGAGAGACCAAATTGATGGCGGTTAAGGCAAATAAATATCATCGCGGATCGAATAAGATCGAGCCGCTTTAGAACGCGAATTTCCCTTCGACTTCAAACAGTTTTCCAATGCGCAATTTGATTTCTATATCATTCAGCGAATAAAATATGTAACGAAACGGTGGTTATTATTAACTGTGATAAAAAAAACGGTTTTATAATCGCGCGTATCCAATCCCTTCGATTCATATAATCTACCGCGGAAGAAAAGGAAAGCGGATAGTAGATGCAAAATTTATGTAATTACGGGATAATTCATTACCCGTTATTTCACGGGTATACGAAAAAATTCGAGCGTAAAGAGGTCGCGATTTCATTATCCCCCGATTAAATCGTCCGTTCGCGTCCGTTTCCCCAACGTGTGACAATTAATCGAGAACGATCGGTCGCCCTAATTAATTTTCTTCGGAGCGCCACCGTCGAATTAATTTCTCCTCCGAGAGAGAGAGAGAGAGAGAGAGAGACGAGACCGACGTTATCCTTACGGACGTTAAAGCCACTTGAGTGACAGCCGGTGCGCTCTCGAAATCGTTCTTACGTTTCGAGCCGTCACGCCACTCGCGCGTCATAGCGCGTTTAATAGCGGGACGTAGCTGCAGTTGTAGCTGCAGTTCAGAGACTTGGTTGACGCGCGCGACTTTTACGACGATCTATCGACGGGCGGAAAGTCCGTCGTTGCATTGTCGCAAATGTTGCCCAACACGGCGTTGACGGCGTGATATCGTGAATGCGCATCGATCCGCGCGACAATAAGTGTATCGTCGTTACCGCCGGCAACTTGTTCGTTGCACTTCGCCTCGGGGTCAATAACACGCGTGTACTACGCGCCCGCTTCAAGTGGATGGATTCTATAAAGCTGCGAGCGATATCTACGGCTCGTAACTCCGATTCCATGCGGGGTCGTTAAATATCGACGGGAGAGAACGCGGAATGGAGTTTCTCTCCCGCTTCGGTCCCTCGGCGTCGCGTGAGAAGTTTTTCGGTCTCTCCTTCCCGATACGTTTCTCCTTTGTCGAACTCGAAGAAACGATAGTTACGATACTCCATAATTAATGTCTCGCCGGACCCACGCTGGGTGTTCCAGATTTCGTAGAATTAACAAGAACTCGGGCAACTCGAGGCTTTCGGTCGAAGCCGCAGCGAAAGAATTGGTTCCTGACGGGGTAATATTGGATCCACTCCTATAACCCAGGCAACTCGATCGACTGCTGTATACGTACATTTGATGTTCGCGTATTCAATCGAACGAAAGTCCGAAAGAGAAACTTCATCTAATAGAATATTGCAACCTGTATTTTTTCAAACTTAGATCGTTTGAAATTCCCCGGTGCCGATCATATTGCAATATGATTTGATTTAAACATATGGTATATTGGTATATCTTTCATCGGAGATTGGAATCAACTGGCATAGTTTTGATAAAAGCAATATATTCGTTTTTTTATATTATATATGTGTACATGTATACTTATTTTAGAAAATATTTTTATATGTATACTTATTTTAGAAAATATTTTTACGTGTCAATTGCTCTTTCTCTCTTTGTTTGCATTTCGTAAAACATGAGCACATTATTTGACCTTGTCACATCGATAACGCGAAATAACACGTTTCTCTATTTCGATTCTATTCTTGTTGGAAATTTGGAAATTTGTTTTCAGTAATTCTGTCATTCGTCAATTAGAAAATTTTGCATTTGTGACAATAAAGAATGAACGTTTAGAAATCTGATATATTTTGAAAGAAATCGAAATTATGGAATATTAGAAGAGTAGAATTTTCTATTTTTGAAGACAATTTTATTTTTGCACGCTCGTGTTGTAGAACTATATGTTCCTGAATCTTAAAAAATTTTACTCCAAAAATTTTATTTTATTTTTTATTCTTTATTATATATTTAAAAGTAATTAAATGCCAGTTTCACACTGATTCACGTCGGATTTTATGAACTTACTAAATTGTTCGAGCAATAAAATGAAGAACAATTAACTGGTACATATGTTTCTCATTTTTATAGTAGGATGATGAGCTGAATACCAAATTGAAAATAATGGGATATTTTTACAATTTGAGTGCCAAAGCTTTACAGCGACGCGCCTGTGATTGGCACTTTGGTAATGCGGTCTACTCATCGGCTGGCTGCCATTGACCTCGGCGAAAAATCGAACTTTCATCGTCCACCACAACGTGTTCAAGCACGAAGACTCATTTATCACATTTCGGCTAGGAAAAATGAATGTTATTTTACGAAAAGGCGATCGGAAACACGATCGTGAATTCTCTTGAATAAAGCTTGTTACGTATACAGGATAATCATCAAATTATTGATAAGAAAAATTCTATTAATCAAAAAAAAAATTAATAAAGGATCGCATAATATATCAGATAATTTTTAATAAAAAATGCACAATTTATCGTGTTTACAATTATAATTTAAGATAAATAATTGAAGACATCAAATAATAATTATAACTCGTGACTTGGCTATAAATTAATAGTAACCGAAGATGTGCAATGCGTATACTAATAAAAACAAAAAAAAACGAGAGAGAAATATCGGTGATAATTTCGTATTTGATAATACGTTACCAGGATCAAGTTAAAGTGAAAGGGAAGATAACGATCTCAATTAAGCGAATCCAGCCTCGCGAAATAAAGCCAGCACTATGTCGGATTCCAGCAGACTGCCGGACGATGTTTAAATCATTTTATTTTTACACAGCTCCGACGTGCCAAGTACACTGCGAGACGCGAAATAATGCACGATAATCTAGACTGTTATCGGGAGCGCTTAATTCCGATAGCGAGCTGCCAAAGCTCGAAATCAAAATAGCTGACGAAGCTCAAAATGAAAATAGCGAGATCTCGCTAACGAAACATAACTACGAAATAACTTCAGTAACTTTGTTTCGATATCAATAACTTTGCTTCGATATCGATATTACTCTAGAGCTCGAAAACATCGCTACATTGCAGTATTGTTTCCACTAACTGTGAAAACAAAGTTTCTAAAACAATAAATTAATGATAACTGATCGATATAATTAACATCGTCATTACAGAAGTATAAGATTCGGAGTATACATTTATTATTTTCACACGTTATTACTAACGTTTTATCAACTCTTAATTCAGTTGCCGATATCGATTCCGAGCTGTCGATATTAAGAAATAAATTAGTAAAGCAAAAATATTAGAACCAATCGTCAACGTCGCGTGATTCCAATTGATATTTAATTAAGCAAATACCTTTTTATTCTCGAAATTGTTCTCGAAGAGATTAAAAATATATGTATAGGTAGGTACAATAACAGCGGAAGATTATGAAAATTTAAAAAGAATATATTTCTACATTTATAAATAAA